ATTATTCTAATTATACACTTTATTATGATTATGACTTTGTTACTGTTAATCCCTGTGGTTAATACCAGGAAATGAAGCAGAAAACAATATCCTACTCCAGGAACTACCCAGGAGAAAACCACACCCCCATCAACACTACTGATAGAAACAGGAAGCAAACTTCGCACTCACTCGCATTTATGATGTTGCCTATTATAGTCAGGTCATGAAATGTCTGCAAGCCAACAACTAAGCTCAGACAGTTTATTATTTATCAATATAAAACTACACAAACTGAGTTCCCTTGTAGACAGAGGTAAAGGCAGAGCTGTTTCTAGCAGTGTCCATTTTCAACCAAGACCCTCTGCAGCAAACCTAAAACATATCCAGAAGAGCATCACTTTGGAACAGACACAGAAGCTTCACCCAATTCATGTAATCAAGAATTGGAGCACATAAAACATGACAGGTAGCAAATAAATAAATAAAATCTCTCTGGAGGTCAGGGATTCTCTAAAGTAGACCTGGGGCTAGAAGGCAGGGGAATGGAGGAGAGGAACAGAACTCTGATCACATAATGTAGGATTTTGCCTACATTCCTATTAGATAAATTTCTTACAAACATTGAATCAAACTATCTTATGACTCACAAGCTGCTAAGAGATCCTGAATCACACTACTACATTGTGCTGAAACCAACAGGAATACTTCAGGTCTAAATCTGAATGAAATCTCAGGTTTCTTTGCAACTTTCTCTTTAAATTAAAAGGCAGTGCAATTGCAGAGGGATGTGGAAGTGGCTATGGCAACAACTGAGCTATCAAATTAGACACTGAAGAGAATGAACATCAACCATGTATGTGGAATTTTTCTGCCCAGCCTTATTTCTAAGTACTGTGGATGTGTAAATATTAAATATTTATTGAACATTAAGCAGGGAAATAAATGAAATCTGATGTTTTGTACATTATGCACCATAATTTTATGGACAACTTTTTGATGTGAAAAGAATAGGTAGACAGACGTATTTAGAGATTAAAAACATCATTTCCCAACCATATTTTTTACCTCTTACAATTAGCTTCTTCTCTTAGGGGTCCATCTAACAACACAAGCTTGATTTAACTGAACTAACCTTATATTTCAACGAGCAGAATTATTTAAAGAGCTGAGAAAGACTTAAGAAGTAATGACAAGAGAAAATTAAGAGCAGTAAATAAAAATAAATTTAAATAAATTATGTAAATGTTCCTTCCCATTCTGTTCATGCAAACCATGTTTGTTTCCACAGATCATACAAATTCATAGTCTTTTAAACTTCTCCAGTCCTTCAGAATCTCATCAACCCCATCCAATGACAATTAATCATTTTCCACACAACCCACTCCTTTTTCATCTATTCATTTTGCAATTCAATCTGCATTCATTTTTTATACATGGAGAGGTTCAATGTATTCTTCAATCTATTCTTTACAGATATCTCCCAGAATTTTTCTAGTTTTCTAGTCTAGAGAGGCAAAGAGTTAATCTAGCTCTAGTGACTCAAGAGTCATTGTCACTTAAGGGAATACTGAATGGATTTTATCAGTGAAACTCTGGGAATGCGTATCCTAGTGTCTGAACTACAGACTACAATTACAATAGGTAGAGTGTATACTGGGTGGCCAAAGGTCATCCAGTGAGCTTCATGGTCAAATGGTGACTTGAATCTGGATCTCCCCAGTCCAAGTTAAATACCTTAACAGTAACCATTGCAATACACAGCTTAAAGAGACATGCAACAGATCAGGAAGTCAGATTATCTATGCTTGCTCAGAACATTTTTTAGCTAAGTAGCACATAGAAATACAGTAGGAAAGTGCAACTTTGTCTTGGAAAATCAAAGACCTGTAGTCCAATGGTCAGTACTGGTAGAAGTAGAGATAAACATGTCATTACAATCATGCATCCTAAGATAACTAAGGCAGTGACAGCTAATGCTATCAGTGTGACTGAAAATGCAGATTGTAGGAATCAACTTCTGATCTCCAGGTTAGGTATGGATAAGAAGGAACCCTAATCCTTTTGACTGAATTACATTAAATCCAGAGGATTAGGGTTCCTTCTTACCCATACCTAGCCCTACTTCACTCCTACTTGGCTCTTCTAGCTAATGAGGGTACCTAGAGCTTTTTCTTAAGTTTCTGCTCTGTTACTTTCCCCAAAAAATTCATGTCTGTCTCCATAATGTGCCTATTATTTTGTCCCAGACCATACATGAGGTAGCTAAAAGTAGTCTTGAACTGCTCTTAGTGAAACAGTAGATGGGGAGAAACACTAATTCCTATCAGCCAGGTTTCATGCACCCCCCACCCCCAAACAACTGAGGAGTGTGTGATTATGCAGCAGAAAATCAACTATGTGGATCAGAGCCCTTCTCCTATCCAGTGAACCAGGAGAAGCTTCCTGATTTATCTTGTCTGGTTTATAACGCAACCTCTACCCCACTATAGAACATTGATAGTCTCCAGTTACCATTAGCCATAAGCACAGCACCTGAATTGTGGGGTGGGAAAGTGTCCAGTACGCCATAGTTGTTGTCGGAGCTGTTAGTAACACTGTGATATAAATACAGCCTCACTGCTTTTACTTTGCTCTTCTAGCTAATGAGAGTATTTAGAGCTTCTTCTTAAGTTTCTGCTCTGTTACTAAAAAAAAATATAAATGACTTGAAATTAGTTAGAAGCTGGTTTCCCGTTTCTGGCTGGTTTGCTACAATAATGAAAAAGTAGGCCACATCTGAGATCACATATCACATTAAGCCATTAGGCGTTTTATTTCTTTAGCATGAAGTGTGAACCTAGCAACTATGATTTATAGATCATGGTTTATTGCTTCAGATTTAATTAAATTGTTTTATATTATGTATGTCTCTAAATAATTACAGAGAAATTCTCATTAAGCTCAGTGGAATTTACTGTTAAAAAAAATACAGTTGCATTTGAGTTCCTGTTGACATAAAAGGAATGTACTTATATACATGTACTTTTGGGACTTGATGATTTTACTTTATTGCTGCAGCCTCATGCTTGGATGAAAGCACAAGGAGCTACTATAGAAAGTGTCAGGGGAAAGGAGTGGAAATGATGAAACCATCCATGCATCAGAAAAGAACTTCTATTTATAGAAACAGATTTTTGGATCCAAGCTTTTAAAACCTTCTAGAAGTGTTTAAATCCAGAAAATGTAGGGCAAGCTACTAAGATATATCAGGGAAAAACTTCAATCCTTCAGATCTACCTTTAAACATTGAAGATAAAACTTCAAAATCTGTCCTAAATTTGATCACAAAACAAATTAATTCTTTTAATGCATTTGTATACATTTACATTACTTCAGATGAAGTTCAAGGCAGTTTCCTCACTTGCCATTAATAGAGAGAATAAAAAAGATCAAATCACAAAACAAGCAAACATGAAATAAGAGTGAATAAGTTTAGAACAAGTCATATTAGATGGTATTGATTTGAATACCATCGTTTAAAGACAATTAAATTATAAAGCTGTACTGTATTTTGATGGGAAGGAAAGATGCCTCACAAAAGACAGCAAGATGAGAATCAGTGAATCGGGTTAGCGTTCTCTAAAGTTAGATGCATTTTCTCATTTCTTGTATTTTATTTCTTTGGCTTATTTTCTCTGATTTGTATATTACTGCTTATTCTGAAAGAGGCAGTTTGGCTCAGTGGTTAAGGCATCAGACTAGAAAGCCAAAGACTGGGATTTCTAGTCCTGCCTTTGCCATGATAGCTGGGTGACCAATCACTCTCAATCCAAATCACCTCACAAAGTTGTTGTGGGGAAAATAGGAGGAAGGACTATTAGGTATGTTTGTCACCTTGAGTTACTCATAAAAATAATAAAGCTGGAATACAAATCAATAAAGAGGGAAAGAGGCTGGCTTTCTGGGTATATTTATTTGTAATGGAGAAAAAAAGCTGTGCATCACCTTTAAACAGCTGAAGACCCCAATTAAGATTAGACAGGGCCATGCAAGTGGGGTAGGATTAAATCATGCAGATAGGTGGTTTACTTTTTGTTTTTCATAGTTTTTATGAGGATATGCTTGCTTTAGATCTTATGTTTACCATTTTTTCCATCTTAAAAAAGTTTTCAGAATGATACTGTTTTTCATTGGATGGGTACTGGGGCTGCAAAAAACAGGTTTGGGAGCCAAATAAGGCCTCAGACTGCCTAGAGCTGAATCACTCTAAATTCCACTGTAAACTAACCTGGAGATAGACATAATGCAGATCCAGAATTTGCAGCCTGAAACTCCTTGGAGAAATGGATGATAAAATTTAATATTCATAAAGGGTTAGATTGGATGTAAACAGTTCTACTTGCACCATTCATAATTCAGTGTACTTAAAAACAGCGGAACACATCACTGTGGGCAAGTTTTTTAATGCATGCATTACAAATGTATATACATTTACACTGAAAATATTTTTTCACTTTGGGTTCATTTTGGTCCCTTCCAATCCATCTTGGCTCTTGGCAGCTGTCTGGACAAGTCTAGAGTTAGGGGCTCCTACTATAATGGTTGGAAATATCCAGCAGGTATTTTCTAAACTAAAAAAAGTGATGGCCAGATTCAGTTTATGCTGGAACTCTTCTTCGCTCCAATCTTAGATAAGTGGAAAGCAACGTTTTGCACTGAAAGTGCTTGCCCGCGTTCATTTTCCCCATGCACGTTTACTTCCAGTATTGTTGGTAGGACGGAGTTGTTGCACCCGCCGCCTTTCGCCACTTTTAATTTTTCCTGACAGGGAAGTCTTGTTCGGAGCCAGGCCTTCTTGAAACGGATGTCAACAATGCCCGCGGCCTATTTTTTTCTTAGACTCTAACCTGGGCTCCCGCTCCCTCACCTGCCGGTGCGCACTTTCCCGCCTTGGGCTCAGGCGGGGCCAGTAGACAGTCAGGTGGCTCTTCCGCCTCCCCAGCTGACGTGGACGCCAACTGGAATCCGCCCTATAACAGGCGCGGGTGGTTCGCGTGCGGCGAAGCGAAAGGCGAGAGCGGCGCGGCGTTGTGGGGTTTGTTGACGGGCGGGTTGGTGCCTAGACGTCGCCGCCCTCCGTTCTGGGCGCCACCGGAGAGAGGAAGAGTCCGCGAGAGGCCGACGGGGGGATGGCCGCGGAGACGAACGCCGGCAGCCAGCAAGGTAAGGGGAGCGGGGCGTTTTATTTTAATTTTTTTCTGATCGCCGTTCCTTTTCTTTGGGCTCCCGCGGAGGGAAAGCTTTGGGTAGCCACTTCACGTTACACTTCGGGATGGGTTTGCCTCGGCGGGGGGAAGCGCAGCTCCCACCACGCAGCTCGGAAATCCGCCGCCGCCGCCTGCTCTGCTCCCACCCTGCGACCCCGGCCTTGGATTCCGAACAGCGTTTCCGAGCGAGAGGCGTGGCGCACATTGGGTGCCTCTTTCTCCCGAGGCCTTAGGCTGGTCCGCCTTTGGCCGCAGCCAGGGCGAAGCCGTTATGACTGAAGCCCGAAGATACACACAGCTCGGCACAAGGCAGCAGTTCGGGACTGCGAGTTTTGGCGAGCAACCAGCGGCGGTGTGTTTGCTTTGCAAGCTCTCCGTGCCTTGGTTCGCTCCCGCACCTCCTCTTCCTCTTGCCGTGGTGCTTGTTGCATCCAGGAAGTGGGAACTGCCCGGTTTTTACGAGGTGCTACCAGAACGTGGACTCACGGGTGTTATCTAGGCGGGGAACGATTTCTAAAACTTGAGAGACACTCCCCTAAAAAACAACACCCGAATTTAGAAACTGCACCTTGGAAAGCTTTGAGCTCCAGGGGTAGAACAGGAACAGCTGTCTTCCTTCTTGCTACAGGGTGAGGACATTGCCAGAGGTGTGGCTACCGCCCTACAAAGGGCCAGGACTTTTAGTACAAGAGACCTTGCCTTCTATTGTTAGCAAGGTATCTTTTCTGGGGCTTTCTCAGCTTTTGGTACATGTGGTAATAGCACTGGTGCCTTCCACTTTTGTATAACGTTTCTTCCACCCTTTGTGTATTGCTTTCTGGAAGCCGCAAAGCTAGGTAAAACCTACCCTGATACTATTGCTTCTGCCAAATTTCAGATTGCAGCAGACTTGAAACTCTTGGTGGTGGGCCCAAAGACCAATCAATATGAACTTGCAAGAAGCTGAGATTGCTGATTAACAAGCTGACTTAGACTGAATTTGGGTGGGGAAACCCATAGTCCTTAATTTTTTCTTCCCAAAGAGAGTACTGCCTGGGTGAATGAAAAAATCTAATAAAATTAGGCAGCTGGACTTTTTGCTATAAAGTTTATTAGATGAAAATAAACACTACTGCTTTGTAGGATTTTTTTTTTTAAAGAGGAAGAGAATCCAGGAATACTTAGAACTGGGACACCATATGAGCTGCTTCTTCCACCCGGCACATTGTTAGGTGTATAGGTGTGCATTTCTGCACATGCAGGGAACCTTTAATTAAATCCATTTTTTAGTATTAACCAAAACATATATTTGAATTTTTTTTCCTAAAGACTACACATTAAATTCATTGTCATGATTTAGTGAATTCTGATTGTTCTCAATCATAAACTAAGCATATTGAATGAATTTGTGCAATATAATGATCAAAATGTGTCTATGCACTATACTGATATTCTAAAAAAAAATAAGTTTAGGGAATTATAGTTCTCAATATACCCTCCTGAAGATTATGGAAATTGTAAAGTAGCACATCTGAAAAGCAACAATAATATGTAAATATCGCATTCAGATCTAGTGGTTGCTGTGGCTTTTGTTTGCTATATAAATTACTAAGTTAGATAGGCAGCCATATAAATCTTGTAAGTAAAGTATCTTACATTTTTCATATATGTAGTGCAGAAAACAGATAAAGATTCACTTTGTATGAGGAAGACAGACTGTGCCATACTCACTTTTTCTGTGTGGATAAATTGAAACTAAAGAAGGATTATCCATCATTTAATACCAATATTGTATAGAATCATTTCTGTTTCAGAGCCTGGGAAGCTCTTTATGAAAGTGCAGCTGAAAATGCAGCTGATTTGCCAGGTCCTTGGCCTTTGAAAGAAATAATGGTTTATTGTTTAAGATTTAGAATAATCTGCAATTTGCATGATGAACTAACTGCACATATTGGATTTGCACAGCAGACTAACCTCAAATGTGGTTGCTTACTTTATGGCTCTCTGTGTTGTGTAAATCGATAGTGGTTGGATATTAATGTTAATACATAGACTTTTTAACAGCATGTGTGGTAGCCATTTTAATAACTACTTCATTGTTAGATTTATATGTGCCTTCAAGTCAATTTTTTGTTTATGCTAACTTTGTGGACTAGTTCCTGTGGTTTTCTTGGCAAAGATTTTTAGTAGTGGTTTACCACTGCCTTGGGGCTGAGAGAAAATCATTGGCCCAAGGTAACCCAATAAGATGGGGCTAGAACTCATTATCTCCTGATTTCTAAATTGATGTGCTCTACCTAGAACTTGAGTTGTGGCAACTGGACTTCTTTTTTAGAAAAAAACTTTCAGAGAACTCTTATCTGGATGATGAGAATCACCATCAACATGTTGATATACTCTTCCCCCCCCATTTATTTATTTATTTATTTATTTATTATATGTAAAATGCTAAAATGGATGAATTTCTCCTACTATACTCTATACAGGTAGTCCTTGACTAATGACTGGTGGCTTTCTGACCATTTGAATTTATAACCATTTAAATTTATGACGGACCACTTCCCCTGCCCAAAAGTACTTTTGGCCTTGTTCTGATGCCCCCTACCCCATGGTCACATTACTGCATTTCAGGTACTTGATATCCACTTTGCATTTATGACCATTTGCAGCAATCTATGGTCATATGACCATGATTTACAATGTTTTTGCCAAAAGCCAGTGTTTACTTCTGGTTTTTGGCATGCCTCATAGCAAACAGTAGGCTCTCAAGAGTCACTTAATGATCATGGTGATTTGCTAAATGACCACTGCTAAAAAATTGGTTGATTATGTGATGACTCACTTTATGACTATCATGACATGATCATAATGGGCAGGTTCCATTACGGTCACAAGTTGAGGAATATCTGTGTAGTATCTCAAATCTGTAGCTTGAAGAAATTGGTTTGGTTTAATGAGATAGTAATAAATATTGATTGGCAAACCTTTTATGTTTTGTTGCCAAGCCAACAAAACAACACAAGCCAACTTGGAATTTTTACTTTAGTAATAATTTAGCTGATTTGCATCTTCTCATAATATATATTGTACTAATAACTTGAAGGCTATTATTAGTAACAGAATCCTCAACATAGAATGCGTTCTCAAGTCTTTGTCTTTTGTGTTGTTTTAATACCATATTTACCCCAAAGGAAATTAACCCTACATTAATGATGACACAGAGGAAGACTGTGGAAAAGAAAAAGAAACATGGAAAAAAGTCTTGTGTAAATGTATAATGTCCATTACACAATGGAGCTGAATGGTAACCACTGTGCTCAAGATTGAGTCATTTCAATATTTGTGCAATCTACAAAAACCAGCTTTTTAAAATTAAATTACATTTTTCAGTATTTTTCAACCAAAGAGGAAAGCAGTTCCCTCCATTCCTTACTTGTCTAATGTAATAGGTGAGTCTTTAATGTTTGCTTTTTTTAACTTTCTTTGTTATTAAGCCCTATTAAATGTTTTAACTCAGGGGTGTCAAACTGGCGCCTGTGGGCCAGATGCCTCACTCACAGGCCATGCCCATCCCAGTTCTACAAAGGGAATAAATGTTGTGGTACATCACGTGACGGCAACATGACGCGGCGAGTTTGACACCAATGTTTTAACTCTTTTGAAATGGTAAATACACAATTTAAACTAGTTTCTTAATCCGAGTAATCATTCTTTACAATGTACCTCGCGAGAGGATTGGAAGACATAATTGTGGTTATAGGCTGGAAGTGTTAAATGCTGTTTGTGAGTTTAACTATGATTAAGGTTAAACAAGGTTCCAAGCTGGGCTTGTGTAAAAACAACAGGATTTTCTAAATCTCACTTTTTAGTAGACTGCTTAAAGAGGAGAGGTAACAAGTTAAAGGTAAAGGTTTTCCTCACATATATGTGCTAGTCGTTTCTGGCTCTAGGGGGCAGTGCTCATATCTGTTACAAAGCCAAAGAGCTAGTGCTGTCTGAAGACTTCTCCATGGTCATGTGGCCGGCATGACTAAATGCCAAAGGCGCATGGAACACTGTTACCTTCACACCAAAGTGGTCCCTATTTTTCTACTTGCATTTTTACATGCTTTCGAACTGCTAGGTTGGCAGAAGCTGGGACAAGTAACAGGAGTTCACTCCATTACATGGCGCTAGGGATTCGAACCGCCGAACTACCAACCTTTCTGATTGACAAGCTCAGCGTATTAGCCAGTGAGCTACCGCATCCCTAAAAACATAGTAAACTACTATAAATGCTCATTTTAATTTCAAAGAGAATGAATTTCTCTTGTTATTTTGACAGAATATGCTCCTAGGAAATACTATCGTTTTTCCAAATTTACAGTAGAACAAATCTTGTCCTTCAAAATAGTCTTTCAGAAGATTATTTTTTCCGAAAACTTGTCTAAAGTACCAAGAATAGTATAAGTGGTGGTGCAGTGGTTAGAATGAAGTATTTCAGGCTACCTCTGCTGACTGCCAGCTGCCAACAGTTGGCAGTATGAGTCTCACCGGCTCAAAGTTGACTCAGCCTTCCATCCTTCTGAAATTGGAAAAATGAGGACCCAGATTGTTGGTGGCAATATGCTGACTTAGAGAGCGCTTATGTAAAGCACTGTGAAACGGTGCTATTGCTATTTGTATAAGTGGAAAGCTTTCTAGGGAATATGTGAACAACTTTTGCTAGACAAATGAACACTTAGAGTTTATGTTCATTTTTTATGGAACAGACTTTGGCAATATATGAAGCAAGTCACATTTCGTTAGCTTGCTTAACAGCCCAGATTAAACTTCCTGTTACATTTGTATAGCTACAAATGATTATTGCATAGCATTTCCCACTTATACTTGCACTGAATTTTTGTTTGCTTTTGGATGGGACCACAAGTATGCAAAAAAGTAGCTTCTATAACAATTTGGACTATAACTTCAAATATTTATTAGCCATGCTTATTG